TCCTTATAACTTGCCTGGCCACCTAACCAATACAAGAGCTCCCTTCCCTCATCACAATTGCAACTCTGCCCATCAAAAACAAGCAACCTAACCACAATGGTAAAGTTAATTCAGGAAATGGACAGAGTCCAATTTTGAGAAAAGTAATGTCCATTTTACACAGGTATATGCTGCTGTTGAGATAGTAAATCTAATGTTTTGTACCTGGTTATTTTACACTAAAGTGTATAGATCAAATACATTACTATACTAGCCTTCCTGGGGTTGCATTTAAATGGACAAGACAATGGCTCCAGAGGGGTCTAAGGCCAAAGTCCAAACTCTTTTTTTGAAAACTAGTCTCATCAGAAGGCAAAGCAGGTTTCTGTTTAAAACTGAGAAAATGTATAAAGTAGGTTATAAATCTATCTACTCCCCATCTCCTTCCTTCACTAAATCTCAGAAAAAACCTTGAAAGCTTCAAATAGTCTATGATTTTTATTTTAAAAAGATGTTCAAGAAAACATTTTAAAAAAAGAAAACATGTTTTTTCTCTGAGACCCTCAGAAAGGGAAAAAATATTAGTAGACTAATTGTTACATAATACTATAACTTTTATAAAACTTGACTTTTTAAAAGCTCCTAATTAAGCAAAGTAACTTTAGCTTCAGTTTAGTTAACTACTTTGGATTCAAGCCAAAATTGCAACTTTACTTTGCCTTAAGCTGTGTTCTTTTTATATAGCAAAATGAGGATTTTAAAGTTTAAACTTGTAGCAGCATGTCTCTGCTATAGCAGCATGCCACCTAAAAGGAAGAAAGTTGCTCCTCAGTTCTGCAGCAATTCCTAGTTACCATCTCCAGCTGAGGGTCTGGAGGGAAAACAGCATAGCCACATTCCAGAAAAACCCCTCTTTTAAGCAACATTTAAAACAGAATGCCTATCCCCTGTAATGCTGTCTGTTATCCTGTTGAATGGGATAACTAATTGATTATACATCACTGGTCACCTTGACTCCAGGTCTGTCCTTTTTTATAGCTAACCCCAACTGAAAGGAAATAGAATCCTGTGAGTTTGTTCGAACTTTCTCATATCTGATTTTTACAGGAGTTATGATGTTTTTTATTTTTGTTTTCCTTTCCCAATTTCAAAATGCCTGGACCTGGCAGCTTCTTTCATTCCTCCAGTTCACACTGCCTGAGGTAAAAGTTTATGTCTTAATGGCTTTCAGCAGGGGGACTAGGACACTTATTTGCAGCAGGTATACATTGATAACATCTCACTGCCTAAAGGTAGCCCCTCCAGCCTGCGAAGATGATCCAGTCCAAAGACAGAGAAACAGCATGAGACTATCAATCCCCAGAGGGAAAGCAGGGGAGGGTGGGGGTAAGGGGAAGAGATAAAGAAGATGATCCTATTTTATTGATTCTTGAATGCTCCCCCTATATCCCTATAAGCAAAACCAAATAACCACTATAAATGCAAAAGTACTTGGTAAGCTGTAAAGTCAGTAATGTATCCCAACCCTCCACAGATTTCTGAAGATAAAGTTTTGCTTGGATTACAGTAAGATATTAAACTATTTTTTAATCAGTTGTGTTTATCAACTAAAATGATTTTCTATGCTAAAGAACTGGAGACAAACTTGCAGCATGCATAAAGCCAAAATACTCCAACAGGCAAAGGCTTTGACCCCATATTTCAGAAAGCCTTGTGTTTGAGAAAAATCTCAGACTGACGTCACGAGCCAAACCAGAATATGTTCTATTTAATTTAATAATTCAAATACATGTAGTAACAGTTTCTTCAAATAAATCCTCAACTATCTGAGAGCATTAAGAACATATCTATCTTTGTTCATCATTGTATTTCCATGCCTGGCTCAGGGTAGACATTCAATAAATACCTTGCTGAATTAATGAATTAGTATCACATACTTCAGACATCAAATCTTTGACCCAAGAGATTATCAACAACATGAACTGGTTGACAAGTTCCCTATTCAAAGACAATTTAAGACTCTACTTACATGTCAAGCTCTGAAAGAACATAAATTAATTAGACATGGTGAATGCTCTCTAGAAATAAATTTTCTAATTGTTATAATTCACTTCAGTGGGTGCTAAAATAGAGGAAGTCTGTGAAGAAAGAGTATTCACCTCTGCCTTGATAGGTCAGAAAAATTCAGAGAGACAGAAAGTCTTAAAGGACATAGTAGGAATTTGCCAGACATATAAAAGTAGAACATTCCAGACAACAGCCAGAGGAACTAAATCAGGAAGGAATGTAATAGAATGTCATGTTTCAAATAACCAACTGAAATTTGAACTTGCACTTGACTATCCTTTTCTGAATTATTTTAGCCATCAACCTCACTGTCTAATTTCTTGTTTCTATGCTTCCTCATCTTTCAATTCAAAATATGAAATCTTTTGTTAAAGTTCGATTCCTTTATGTAATGATTTCCCTTGTAGCAAAATTAAACTGACCTCTCTCAGCAACTTTGCTTCCAGATGCCAAATCAAAACATAGCCTCTGGAAGGGGGTTTCCCATCTAGCAATGTTCTGACCTTCTGAGTAGACCTGGACCAATAAGCCATTGTGGCTGGAGAGAAAGGGTAAGTGGTGAGAGATAAACAGGGGCAAGATCATAGTCACATATGCTAAATCAGACATTAGTATTAATCCTGTAGGAAATGGGGAGGAAAGTACTTAAATGTGTGTTTCTGATAGATCACTCTGGTCATCATAGAAATAGATTTAGATGTACTTAAGAGGCAGAATCTTCAAGACTTAGGAAACAACTGAATGGGCAAGAAGGATGGATAGATTTGTGAGGAGTTAATAAGGATGTAGAATTTAAAAGACTTGATACTAACAATGCTGGAGCTGCACATTCATTTTGCTTTGGTTCTTTTATTGGATTCCAGCATATCTCCACCAATAGCCATGGACACCAAATACATGCCTCCATGAGCATATGGACTCAATTAAAGGTTTCTTCCAGATCTCCTTTCTTCTACTTGCTTCTGCCTTTCCTATGTATTGCTCACCCTCATTTTCTAGCTGATCTACCATAATAATTTGATAACCTTTGCTCATCTAGCCCTATTTGCATGTTGGAGCCTAGCTTCAATCTATTTAACTGTAACCTCGCCACTTCCAATAGGATACAATTTCCAACAGTTCTTAGAATATGTGAATCTCCAAAGATGCTCCATATCTGGATCTGGCTCTCCCCCAGTCAACCACTAGTTGAGAGGAATATTGGAACAAAATTCCCTGAGGCTCCCAATTTTCTTTGTCTTCCATCACGCAGATGAGTGCAGTAGGAGTGGAAAAGTAGAGACAGGGTTGAAAGTTCTAATTCCCTCCAGATGACACTCCCCATGCAGCTGGCAAGAGAGGGAACAGAGTACCAAGCCCTTGTTTATTAGCATCATAACATACCCTGGCATACTGCTATCATCACCCCCAGAGAAATTCACTAGAAACTTCTGGAGACTACTTTTACTTCTTAGCTCCAGATTTTAGAGAAACTATATTACATACCTTCCTTCATGGACTGAAAAGAGGTAAGCAACCATCAATGATCCAGAACTATGTAGGTCTCCTCACAGTGGTAAGGTACTTGATAGCCCTACCCACCAAGAGAACAATGATGCCATTTGTTGATACTGTTAGGGGATAAGGTCAGTCACATCTGAGCCATGGAATTTCAGTTTTTGCCCATTAACTCCACTGTAAGAAAAAAGGATGAGTGTCACTGTATCAAAAGTACTGGGGCCTTGCCCAGCCAGTGTGGCTCAGTGGTTGAGTGTCAATCCATGCACCAACAAGTCACCTGTTTGATTCCTAGTCAGGACATATGCCTGGGTTGCATGCCTGATCCCTAGTGGGGTTGTACATAAGACAGCCGATCAATGATTCTCATCATTGATATTTCTATCTCTCTTCCTCTCCCTTCCTCTCTCTCTAAAAATGAATAAAAACACACGTTAGCCCTAGCTGTTTGGCTCAATGGATAGAGCATTGGCCCACAGACTAAAGGGTCCCGGGTTCAATTCCAGACAAAAGCATGTACCTCAGTTGCAGCCTTGATCCCCAGCCCAGTCAGGACATGTGTGGGAGGCAACCAACCGATGTGTCTCTCTCACATTGATGTTTCTCTCTCTCTCTGCCTCCCCCCTCCCTTCCACTCTCTCTCAAAAAGATCAATGGAAAGATATCCTTGGATGAGGATTAACAACAACAACATATTATGGGAGGCTCAATGATGCCACAACTTCCAGTGCCTAGCATTGTTCACATAAGGAAAGTGACAAGTGAAAGAATGCCTTCTAGGTGATGCAATTGGACAGGTAGTATGAACACATTATCACGTCACTTGGTCATCTGTTGGAAATTACTAAGCAGGTCCCTAAGTTAAAAATGTCTGACAATTCCTGAAAGTTCACCAGGTAGTTTTAACATTCATTTTTGGTTTATCTATACTACCACTCAAATAATTGACCACCTCAAGAAGGGAAGTAGGTTCTTCTGGAAGATGAAGGTTTTGGTCACTTTAACCCCAGTCATGGCTACCTGGCTTCATACCATAGCATCAAAACTGATGCATCCAACATGGTGCCACATCTCCAGGAAGACTTTCCTTGTAGAGTCTGGTCCAGCCGTGGGCAAACTACGGCCCACGGGCCGGATCTGGCCCATTTGAAATGAATAAAACTAAAAAAAAAAAAAAAAGACCGTACCCTTTTATGTAATGATGTTTACTTTGAATTTATATTAGTTCACACAAACATTCCATCCATGCTTTTGTTCCGGCCCTCCGGTCCAGTTTAAGAACCCATTGTGGCCCTCTCAACCTTCTGGCCCTTTAAATACAGTTCTTTATGTTGTGACCCAACCATAAAATTATTTTCATTGCTACTTCATAACTGTAATATTGCTACTGTTATGAATTGTAATGTAAATATCTGATATGCAGGATGGTTTTAAGCGACCCCTGTGAAAGGGTCGTTTGACCACCAAAGGGGTCGCGACCCACAGGTTGAGAACCGCTGATCTATACTTTATCCACCTTCATGTACTATCTCCCATACCCAAAAACCTGGGCTCAGAAGCCAGAGCACATAGAACTATTAAACACCTGCTGATTGATGCCTTGGCTGCCTTTATGCTTAAGTAGAGGCCTGGTGCATGAAATTTGTGCACAGAGGGGGTTTTCCTTCAACCTGGCCTGCACCCTTTCCAACCTGGGACCCCTCGGAGGATCGGGCCTAAACCAGCAGTTGGATATCCCTCTCACAATCTGGACCGCTGGCTCCTAACTGCTTGCCTGCCTGCCTGCTGGATCACCCCTAACTACCTCTGCCTGCTGACCTGCTGCCCCTAACTGCTCCCCTGCCAACCTGATCACCCCTAACTGC